GGAATCCATCTACGAATTCATGACTTCTTACCACTTCCTAGAGTATATATTTGTAATAGCTTCCTCGTAGATCTGAGGATCAATATCTTCAATATCCTCTCCTCTAATATGTCCCACATATCTCTCAGGAGGATAAGATACTATATTGAACCTATATAAAATTAGAACTTGTGTATTAGGTACATAAACAGACTCGGGTTGTAGAGTGGTAATTGAGCTAGGTTCTTAACATCGCTCAACTGTCTCCACTAAGAATATATTCCTTCTCGAGGAACACCGCTCTTTTAGCTACAAAGACCTTTTGATCATCGGGGTGATAGAAATAATACTCACAGGTTTCCTTAGGGTATCCCACGAACTTGCTTCGCTCCGTCCTTGGTTCTAACTTATCAGGATTGTGTCTTTTAATGTGGGTAGGATAGCTTCAGTTCTTAACAACCTTAAGATCGAGCTTCTTTCCTTTCTATATCTCATATGGTATAGATACTACCGACTTAGTTGAAACTCTGTTCAGAAGGTAAGCTACGGTTTTTAGGGCATATCCCCAAAATTAGATGGGTATATCAGCAAAACTCATCATGGATCGCACCATGCCTATCAGTGTATGATTTCTTATTTCATATACCATTAAGTTGAGGTGTATAAGGAGGTATCTATTATGATAGAAAATCATGGTCCTTGAGGAATTAGGTGAACTCTGTACTCAAGTACTCTCCTCCTTGGTCTGATCGAAGAGTCTTGATATTCTTTCAAATTTGGTTCTCCATTTCATTCTTATACTCCCTGAATTTCTCGAATACCTCAAACTTTTACTTTATTAAGTACATGTATCTGTACCTAGAGAAATCATTAGTAAAAGTAATGAAGAAGGAGTAACTATCTATGACATGAGTTGACATGGGACCACATACATCACTATGTATACATTCCAACAACTCAATGGCTCTCTCTTCAGTTTCACTAAATGAAGAGTTGGTCAGTTTTCTATGAAAGAAAGGCTCGTAAGTTGCATATGACTCAGTCGAATTGATCTAGCGTTCACAAGTTGCATTCATGATATGTAGAGCAATGTCTAGCATAAACAAATCATTATGTAATATCCCTCTAGTGATGATCTTATCATCCTTAATAATTGAACAACTATTGTACTAAAAAACTATTTTATAACCATTCAATGTCAAACATGAAATGAAAATAATATTTTTAATAATAGAAGGATTAAAATATCATATATCTAATGCAATAGTAGTTCTATTAGGGAGATGTAAAGTGACCTCATCGACAGTAACAATAGCAACCCTTGCTTCATTATTCATCTTGAGGTCTATATTATCTTTCACCAATCTCTTAGGTCTTGTTAGAACTTGCACTGAATTGTAGATGTGATAAGCACTATCGGTATCCAACACTCATGTTTTATCATAAGAATCTGACAGATGGAGACTGATCATGAATGTACCTGAAGCTTCTCTAAGCTTCTGTTTTACCCTTTTTATAATGTACTCATTATAGTTCCTCTTCTAGTGCCCATCTTTACTGTAGTAGAAGCACTAACATTTGTCCTTTGTCGGGTCTTTCTTAGCAACCTTTGCTTTACCTGGTCTGCCCTTGCCCTTCTTAATGGACTTTTCTGCCTTCCTTTTCTTTCTAGTATTACCTGTACAAAGAACTAGTTTCTCTTTCTTAATAGTGCTCTCAACATTCCTCAACATATTGAGGAGTTCAGGGAGAGTCATCTCAAGTTAAGAAAAGGAATCTAATAGAGATTGAAGCACAAGATCCACACATAAGCTATCCTCTAGGATCATTCCTAGACCTATGAGTTTCTCTATCTACTTAATCATTTTTAGAACATGGTTCTGAACTAGTGTCCTTTCAATTATCGTAGCGCGGAATAAGTGTAGGGAAATCTAGGGACAACATCACATGTGCAGTGAAAGAACAATAAACAAAAATCTTTAAATTTCACAAAAATATATTCGTTGTCATGCGAAGATTGATGTACAAAATTCATAAAACTAAAAACTATGCATGAGATAGTTGTGTTACTAGGGAGTGTGAGGGAAATCTAGGGATGACATCACATACGTAACGGAAGAACAAAAAATAAAAACCCTCAAATTTTTCATAAATTGTGTTCGTCGTCATGCAAAGATTAGTGCATAAAATCTGTAAAACTAAAAACTACGTATATAAAAAAATTATGTTTAACTTAGGGAGATCATATATCCCTGAATCCCTATAGATCTGTAAGAAAGGATGAAGGAAGTCAAGTGTCCTCCTCTCTAACAGTGATCCACATAGTAGGGCTACGATGATGCTCCTCAAATCTCCAAGCCTGCTATCTGAGGAGGAGAATGAGAGAGGAAAATAGGAGATGACAACCAAGAGAAGCTCTAGCCTATGAACTTTTGGTTCCCTTTTATTTATAGAGGCCTACTATTAACTTAACCATAATGGATCCTGCCCTATTAGGTATTGAATCTCCATCCAGCCACCTAAGCCTATTAGATTAGTGGATCTTTATCCAATAATCTCTCATTGGCTCTTATTGGATCTCATCCATAGGATCCAATAATTTAGAGGCTTATTGGATATCCAATAAGATAAGGGTTTCGGTGGATATCTCATACCCGAACCTCTACTCATCGCTACTCGTCGCGATGTCTATCATATGTGTGTGACCCTTTAGGCCTAATATCGAGCTGACCGTGAGTTATACTTGTCAGAACTCCTTCTGACTCAATGAATTATTATCTTCATAATAATTCACTCGACTCATCAATTACGGACGTACTAGGCCATTACATCGTAGTCTCTAAATAATATAGGGGAATCTAATCTACTGGACATGTTTATCCTTAGTTATCGTATACCTATAGTCCCGTCATTCATCTAATATCTCAAAGACCGTATACCGAGCATGATGCTATTAGACCTATATGAATTTTACTTGAGTCTCGCTCTAATCAAAATCTCTCGGAGAACTTTTTCTCTCTCAATTCGAACGACCATGACCATGGATTTGTCTAAGTAAAAACACATGAAATATTTCTCTCATGACACGAGAGCAGATGATCCTTTATCGACACTTAATAGCCCTCGTAAGGTTGACTACCACTCCCAATAACCGACTATACTATATTTGAAACTTCTAAACATATAAGTTCAGTATCAAAGAGTGGAGTACTCATACATGACATACTTGGTGTCTCAAGTCTAAGGACCAGATACACCATTGGGATTACGGAATCATTATCTGACAATAAGGCATTATCAACCATCCAACATTTTGTGAGTGGATCAATCAGTGAACTCATTCTCCAATGAGCATATGTATTATATCCCTAGTGTCCCCACATGAGCAGCTATGAGACCAACTGGCTCCATCATATGGACGGGTACATAGTACACCAATCTCTTCGGTTATCTCGATATCCCTCTCGAGTAACCTATGACCACAATTATTTAGGGCTTGTGTTTAAAGGCAAATCGGTCTCATTATCGTGATCTCATCACGATCTGATTTCCGTTGCACAAATCTATAGGCATAATAATATATATTCATGCAACAAGCAATATAAAGTAATAAAATATCAAATAATATAATAAGTAAAAAGAGTGTGTATCATCACTCATGTAATTGGCTTGTAGGGCACCTATGACTAGCAATAGAGCCAGCAATTAAAACTTGAATAACTTATAGAATAAAATAATATTGTCATAGTCATAACTTGCGATCAATTTTATCATTTCGATGAGTTCTCTTGATATTTAGATTTTTTTTTTTTTATGAACAACCGAGATAGCCAATGATGTAACCTAATAGATCCTAAATAAGTGATTGATGAATTGTACTTATTAAGATAAGATGCATAATTGCCATCTTTCAAGAGCTAAAAAGGATTAGAGTTGTTATCTTGATATATATATATATATATATATATATATATATATATATATATATATATATATATATATATATATATATATATATATATATATATATATATAT